CAACAGAGATTGCCTAGGGTTGTTGCTCTATTCATAGGATTTTATATATGATTTCGAAACCATTTGATATTATCTGGTGAAGTTAGAGTTTAAAACCCACAGTGGAGAAATTCTGGCACACAAGGATCTATCAAAAATGTTCAAAGCACCCTTATGGGTAATGGCCGTTGCTGTGGTCTGCATGTTTGTGTTGCTCCAGAATTCAGATGTTGAAATCCTAACCCCCAAAGTGATGGTTAATAGGAGGTGGGGCCTATGGGAGGGGATTAGGCCATGAGGATGGAGCACTCATGAATGGAATTAGTGCCCTTATAAAATAGATGTCACAGAGCTCCTTGGTTCCTTCCACCCTGACCCAGAAGAGGACCCTCGCCCAGCCATGCTGCCATCCTGATCTCTTAACTTCCAGCCTCCAGAGCTGTGAGCAATACATTTCTGTTGTTCATAAACTACCCAGGCAGTGTTGTTTCATTATAACTGGACATGTCATGAATGACTACAACAGCATGTCAACTATTGATGAGAAGCACAAAAATAACATCGAGGAAACAAAGCAGATCACACGAAGCATAGCAAATATGCGAGGATTCCATTTACAGGACGCTCAAAAACAAATAGGCCCAATTCAAAAATGGGCAAAGGACTGAAGAACCAGTTCTCTAAAAGAAGGTATACAAATGGCCAGTAGGCATACAGTTATCAGGGAAATGCACATCAACACCATAATTTAAAAGGCAGATAATAGCACTACTGGAGGGAATTGGATTGGAACTCTCATACACTGCTGGTGGGAATGTAGGATGGTGCAGTCACTTTGGAAAACAGTTGGCAATCCCTTAAGGTATGATCCAGCAATTCCATTCCTAGGGGTATATGCAAGAGAAATGAACACGTATACCCACACAAACACTTGTACACAAATGTTCATAATAGCATTATTTATAATGGCCCCAAAATGGAAAGAGTCCAAATGTCCATCACTGATCAACAGATTTTTCAAATGTGGCATATCCATAAGGTGGTATGTTATTCAACAATAAAAAGAAAGTATGAATACATGCTACAGTCTGGACAAACCTTGGAAACCTTATGCTGTGAGGAAGAAACCAGTCACAAAGGACCATATGCTGTAGGATTCCATTTATATGAAATGTCTAAAACAGGGCGCCTGGGTGGCTCAGATGGTTAAGCGTCTGCCTTCAGCTCAGGTCATGATCTCAGGGTCCTGGGATCGAGTCCCGCATCGGGTTCCCTGCTCCTTGGGGGCCTGCTTTTCCCTCTGCCTCTCTCTCTCTCTCTGTCTGTCTCTAATGAATAAATAAATAAAATCTTTGAAAAAAAAAAAAAGAAATGTCTAAAACAGAAATATCTATGAAAACTGTCAGCACATTAACAGTTGTCTATGGTTGGAAAAAGAGATGGGGGTGATGGGGGAATAAGGAATAACTGCTGATGGGCACGGATTTCCTTTCAGGATAAGGAAAATGTTCTAGAATTGATTGTGAAGATAGTTGCACAACTCCTTGAGCATTTTAAAAACCATGGAAATTGTATACTCTAGATGGCTAAATTGTATGGTATGTGAGTTAGATTTTAATAAGGTTCTTTTTTAAAAAACAAACATAAAAACTGAATAGTGTATGAATCAAAGGGGCATATTTTGGGGTAAAATGATAAAGTTAACCAAGGTATCACAAGAGTAGGAGCTCTGTGACCTCGGGAGAAAGGAAATATCAAAGAACAATTCACATGGTATTCTTTTAGGAAAGCGTCTATTGGGGCGCCTGGGTGGCTCAGTCGGTTGAGCGTCCAACTCTTGATCTTGGCTAAGGTCTTGATCTCACCATCATGAGTTCGAGCCCTGTGCTGGGCTCTGCACTGGGTGTGGAGCCTACTTAAAAACAAAAACAAAAACAAGCAAACAAAAAAGAAAATGTCTATATATATGTAGTGAGATGAGAGCAAATAAGATAGTTAAAGAAATAACTCCAGCTTTCCTGGGAAGACAGAGCCACGTGCCACCCCTCCTGCTTCCTTCTGCTGTGAATCACAGAGCAGGCTGGGCGTGCAGTGAGGCTCCACAGAGAGGCTGGGCAGGGCAGCCCCTCCTCATCCCAGGGCATCCGCACCCTGAAAACACACCTACACCTGCGCGCACTGCTCCCTTCCTTCCGCACAGACGGAGGGCCAGGCCAGAGCTGGAGCTGAGAACCCTGTTGTTTTCAGAATCCCTGCCACCACTCCTCGGTGCCGCTGGGCCAGCTCCTCAGCCTCCAGTCTCGACACCTGTGTTTTCCCCACCATGTTTAAAAATGCCCTTCCCGAGAATAACAGTGTCCTTTGGGCCCCCTGTGCAGGCACCTCTCCTTGACCCTTGGGTTTCCCACCTGCTTCTCACGGCGGCACCCTGGGCTCTCTGCATGGTTCAAGGTTCTCAAAAGAACATATTTTGTGGAGATGGTTAGGACATTTCACATTTTCCAGAATTCCTTTACTTCACATGCTGCCCTGATATTGTACTCTTCTGTGACAAACACTCTGATTGTGGGGGCAAAAGCATATATGCTGACTTCCCAGGCAGGGCCAGAAGGGGGTGTGCTTGGGTGGGATGTCACAGAGGAGACAGGGGCTTATGGGGAGGGGGGTGGGGATTAAAGAAGTGAGGGGGGAGGGTTCACAAGGGCATGCATGGCAGATACAGGAGGTGGGGGGAAATCACAAGCACCTCGCTTGCTGTGCTTACCCCAAGAGTGACCCTTGGGGCACAGTTGGGTTGGAAAGGCTTCGACTTGATCCTCTCCCTACCAAAACTAAGGGTTCCAGCTCCCCTCCTAGCCTAGTGGTGCCCTTGCCTAAGCTCAGAGTCCTTCCCCATGGCCTTGAGCACCAGGACCAATGGCAGGAGAGGAAGTCAGTGCCCATCTATCTCTTCCAGACTCCACCCTCCTATGTTGGACATGGGGTTCTGGCTTTATAAGAACTCCTGTCCCCTACCCCATAGGGCACACTCCCACCAAGGCCACCCCAGAGGACTGAAGACACCTCTTCCAGAGTGGAGGCATCCTCTCTCGAGGTTAGGCTTTCAGCTTCCTTGGTCTCAAGTGCAGCTGGAGAACTGTGCAAAGGACAGAATGAGCAGCGGATGCCGGCCAGGCTGGGGAAGGACGGGAGGGAGGTTCCAGGTCGGTCCATAATCAAGAAGATCATTCTCCCCACCTTTTCTTTTTCTTCTTGGGAGCATAGAGTACAAAATTCCCAGCCTTTTGCAATGGTCAGTGGGGGCTCCAGTGTAGACAGAGGGATGGTCCTCAAGTAGACCCAAATCCCACTGCAGGAACTGGACTGCAGAGGATGGTATTGGTGCCTACTTTTGGACTCAGTCTAAATTCCAGAAAATAAAAATGGACCTTAAGGAAGCTGACCTGTATGGCTAAAAAATCATCGTCAGAAAGAAAACGTCAATAAATTTTTTTAAAAGTTCAATAAATTTTAAACGCACAATATTTACACAAGCCAAGTAAATCTAAGGAGAGCTCCCCACCTCCCTGTGAGCCCTGCCTCAGCCTGCTTGAGAGCCTGACAACCTGGGCCTGGGGGCTGCGCAGGTGGCCTGGAGAGGTGACTACTGGGGAGGGGATTTGGAGGGGTAGTGCCATCTTACAGAGCCCAGGGCAAAGGAGTAGAAGTGGGCCACCTGGCCCGAAGGGTGGGCCACTCCTTGAGTCTTACCTCAGCTTCTGACCCACATACTAGGTCTATCTGATAGGGCAAGTTAGACATCCCTCCACCCTCCCAGGAGGCAGCAGCCTGAAGCTGGCCCCAAGCAGCAGTTTCCAGATGACTCTTGGGACCCACCCCGCTTAGGGTCCCCAGAAATGGCAGGGCCGTGGAAAGGCCTGAAAGGCACCGGAGAGGTTCCATGTACAGGTGGGACCATAAGTCAGTGAGGAGTGGCCATGATGTTCCCGTGTCCCACTCATGTCCCCAGAGTGAGGCCAAGGCAGAGGGAAACCTGGCGTGGACTGCAGTGGTGTACTTTCTAAACAATGGAGTAAAGAGGCTGATGCCTTTTTTTCATCATAGGTACTTCTAACACTTTTTAAAAATTTTTTTTTTTTTAGAGAGAGGGGCGGGGCAAAGGGAGAGAGAGAATCTTAAGCAGGCTCCATGCGCAGTGCAGAGACCCACTCGGGGCCTAATCTCACAACCCTGAGATCATGACCTGAGCCAAAATCAAGAGCTGGATGCTCAACCAACTGCCCCACCAAGGCGCCCCTCACCATAGGTACTTAAAAAAAAATACTTGTTTACTTCCAGTTGTGCCACTTCTAATCATACCCTGACTTTGCATTTGCCTCTTTGCTGGAAATCAAAGTTCAAATCCTCTTTGGTATTGCTACCAACCCCAGTGCCCCAAGTCCTGCTCAGTGTAACCCCTTTTGAGGTGTGTCTCTCTAGGCCCGTCCTTACACTTTATATATATAAATTCCTTTTTTCTTTTTAATGGAAAAGTGTCATCTTATTTTATTATTACTAATGTAATCATTTGATGCCAAAGAAATGAAGGTAACTTTACAAACACAGAATGTTTGCAAGTACATAAAATTTCCATTTTATTGTAGTTTTCTATCACACTAGTTCAAATGCATTTCTCTACAACTACTCCAACATAACTCCTTTGGAATTATTTCAGTCATCCTTAACATGTGACTCTGCCAAATACTTTGAATCTAAAATAAACATATAAAATTTTAATTATTAACTTCTAGATGAATGGGGTAAGAAAGTCATCAGGTCATGGTTGGGACTGTTAATTTCCAATAAGAAACTGTGTTGAAATGTTTCTTCTGATACAGTAGTTAGAAATTAGAATTTTCAAAAAACAAGGGCAGAACAAAAGTACAATAAAAGAAACTTCTGCAGCTTAAGCCTCCCATAGTCCTAAACCTCTGAGAGAAGCAAGGCAAAGCAACTTTCCTGCAATTTAAGTGGGTTTCCAGTATTTCCATGTAGTTGAGCTTTCAGAGATGGATGCTCATGACATATCATTAATACATATATATCATCTTGGCTCTGGTTGTATTAATTATGCCTGAAGAGTTTAATACCCATCCAGGTCCAAAGGTGGAAGAACACAGAAACTGGTATGGTAATGGGCAGAAGCAGACCGTGAAAGCACAAGCTGGTTGTGTTGGTGCAGTCTTGTGGGGAGTTTTCTTCCACGGAGGCTGCCAACAGTCCTGCTAGAGATACCAACAGAATGAGGGCAGTCACTGTAGGAAGGGACAGAAACATTCTTCTCCCCCACTTTTTACCTGCCACTCTTTTAAAAACATAAGTGGTATTAAGAAAATCTAGTCTATGAGATGCCTGGGTGGCTCAGTTGGTTAGCTGTCTGCCTTGAGCTCAGGTCATGGTCCTGGGATCGAGCCCTGCGTGGGGCTCCTTGCTCAGCAGGGACCCTGCTTCTCCCTCTGCCCCTCCCCCTGCTCTTGCACTCTCACTCTCTCAAATAAAATCTTTTTAAAAATTTAGTTGTGTGTGTTGTGGTTTTTAATTATGATCTAGTGCTGTTCCAATTCTTCTTATTATTTTAATGTGTCCTCCTAGCTGCCTGCGGTATCATATTAGGGATCCCATCAATAATGGGATAGGCTATTCCCAACTCTTCATTAATCAGTTCATTTGCCAATGCTTCATATCTGAGTGGCTTCTTGGGAGAGCGGGCGCACAGGAACTCAAGCAGCGCCTGGTCGAAGGCTCAGGGCTGGTCCCTGGTCCTCTCGCTCTTGCCTGTGGACGGCCATGACCCCGAGGCGAGAAGGCACCTACTGGCGCCCACGAACTGTGGCACATGTGGATCCCACAGTGCAGAGGTGAGGCCAACCGCATGCTCCGCTCAGCATGCATGGTCTGGCAGGCCACAAGCACCCGGCTCTGCGCCTTCAGCCAGCCCGGCTGCAGCCCATCCCTATATAGAAATTCCTTTATAGGAGGTAATTTTTCATAAAAAGTGTCAATATGAATATATTCGTGCGTGTTTGCTTGTTTATCAGTGTTTTTAGAGTCTGTTCAGATATATAGGTATGTGAATTCCTTGTAACTGTTGTATGTCCTGTTTCATCACCTGCACAGATCCTCTTTGATTTTGCCTTTCCCCTGTGGATGGACATTTAGGATGTACCTGAAGTTCCTCTGTTATAAGCAGTGCAGCAATAATAATCCCCTGCTCAGCTGGAGGGCCATAAGGCAGCAGTCCGCTACAGTGGGGGGGAGTCTATCCATGCCTTTGTTTAGAATTTCTATTGAATGGTGTTAATTAGCAGAAGACATGCGTTTACTCAGTAACTGCTTTTGAATTCCACCCAGTGCACCCCTTACTGCCTTCAGAAATGGATTGCTCCCTCCTTCCTCCTCTGTCTTCCTGGTAGATACTGAAAAGTGGAATTATATTTCCATGTTCATGAGCATTGCCCAATGTTTGTTGCAAACTCCATTCCAAAGCTGATTTTTTTTTTAAGATTTTATTTATTTATTTGACAGAGAGAGAGCACAAGCAGGGGGAGTGGCAGGCAGAGGCAGAGGGAGAAGCAGGCTCCCCACAGAGCAGGGGGAGCCCGATGCGGGGCTCATTCCCAGGACCCTGGGACCATAACCTGAGCCGAAAGGCAGTCGCTTAACCAACTGAGCCACCCAGGCACCCCAAAGCTGATTTTTTCCATCAGCCTTTAAAACACTTTTATATTTGATTTTCTTCATCTTCTCCCACCTGGCCGCCTCAGTCTCCTGTGAACTCTCTCTCCCTCTACCTAGCCCTCAGATGGGACTGTCCACAAATTTCTGAGCCCAGCTCTCTGATATCATCCATTAGCTCCAGTATAGGTCGGTGAATCCCGCCCATATCTGACTCCCAAGTCCACACCCTGGACCCCTTCCTGTGAATCCTGGATGGGCCCAGGGTATCTCTGTTTACAAACAAAACATTCCCAAATTGAACCTGGCATCCCCCTTGCCCCACCACAGCCCTACCTCCCTTTACTGCTGCTTCCCCATCTCAGGTAGGGGCAGGGGCAACTCAACCACTTTCACCCTCGGCCCACTGTCTTCACAGCCCTGTGCCCACCATCTTGCCTGGTCTGTGACTTAGGTTGTTTTTGTTTTTTGTGGTTTTTTTTGCAGATGACAGGATTGTTTTTTTAATTTATGGTTTCCTCGTTATTTTTTATTTTAAATTCAATTAATTAATATATAGTGTGTTATTAGTTTCAGAGGTAGAGTTCAGTGATTCATCAGTCTTATATAATACCCACTGCTCATTATATCCCGTGCCCTCCTGACTGTCCATCACCCCTTTATCCTATCCCTGGCACCCTCCATCCCTCCAGCAACCCTCAATTTATTTCCTATGATTAAGAATCTCTTGGAACACCTGGGTGGCTCAACTGGTTAAGCATCTGCCTTTGGCTCAGGTCATGATTCCAGGGTCATGGGATTGAGCCCCGTGTCAGGCTCCCCACTCAGCAGGCAGCCTGCTTCTCCCTCTCTCTCTCAAATAAATAAAACAAACCTTTAAAAAAAAAAAAAGTGTCTCTTATGGTTTGTCTCCCTCTCTTTGTCTTGTTTTATTCTTCCCTCCCTTCTGCCATGATCCTGTTTTGTTTCTTAAATTCAACTTATGAGATCGTATGATAATTGTCTTTCTGATTGACTTATTTCGCTTAGCACAATACCCCCTAGTTCCATTCACATCGTTGCAAATGGCAAGATTTCATTTTCTGATGGCTGAGTAGTATTCCATCGTATATATGAACCACATCTTCTTTATCCATTCATCAGTCGATGGACATCTGAGCTCTTTCCATAGTTTGGCTATTGTGGACATTGCTGCTATAAACATTGTGGTGTATGTGCCCCTTCGGATCACTACATTTGTATATTTAGGATAAATAACCAGGAGTGCAATTTCTGGGTCATAGGGTACCTCTATTTTCAACTTTTTGAGGAATCTCCATACTGTTTTCCAGAGTGGCTGCACCAGCTTGCATTCCCACCATTAGTTGTGTGTGTTGTGGTTTTTAATTATGATCTAGTGCTGGGGGAAAGGGTTCCCTTTCTCTGCATCCTCACCAACATCTGTCGTTTCCTGACATTAGTTTTAGCCATTCTGACTGGTGTGAGGTGGTATCTCGTTGTGGTTTTGATTTGTATTTCCCTGATGCCAATGATATTGAGCATTTTTTCATGTATCTATTGGCCATTTGTATGTCTTCTTTGGGGAAATATCTGTTCATGTCTTCTGCCCATTTCTTGATTGGATGATTTCTCCTTTGGGTGTTGAGTTTGATAAGTTCTTTATAGATTTTGGATACTAGCCCTTTGTCTGATAAGACATTTACAAATATCTTCTCCCATTTTGTCTGTTGTCTTTTGGTTTTGTCAACTGTTTCCTTTCCTGTGCAAAAGCTTTTTATCTTGATGAAGTCCCAATAGTTCATTTTTGCCCTTGCTTCCCTTGCCTTTGGCGATGTTTCTAGGAAGAAGTTGCTTCAGCTGAGGTCAAAGAGGTTGCTGCCTGTGTTCTCCTCTAGGATTTTGATGGACTTCTGTCTCATATTTAGGTCTCTCAACCATTTTGAGTCTATTTTTGTGTGTGGTGTAAGGAAATGGTCCAGTTTCATTCTTCTGCATGTGGCTGTCCAATTTTCCCAACGCCATTTGTTGAAGAGAAGGTCTTTTTTCCATTGGATATTCTTTCCTGCTTTGTGTGACTTAGGTTCTTGTCTGTAGCTTCAAAAACAAGTCCACAATTCTCCACCCGAAGGGCCATCTTCTAGCCCAGGCCACCTTCCCTCCTACCTAGGTCACCCACACAATCTCCTAGTCAGCTTCCTGCCCCAGACTTGCTTGCGAACTTCAGCCATTGTCCCCCTTGTCTCCAGAGCTTCCTTCCACACCACACATCTGACTGCGGCAGTCAACCCTCTCCATTGGGCATGGAGGCCTCATGCTCTCGTTTCCACTCTCCTACCCAGCATTGTCTTCTCCCCTCTCCCCTGGTTCTAAGCTCCAGCTGCAGATAACCAGAGAGGCCCCCCAAGTTATGACTTCCCTAGGCACCCTCCTCCCCTCAACCTACAACACCCTGCAGACCCTCTTTGTCAGGTCCTCCTCGTCCTTCCTGTCCCTCTTAAAGACAGCGTCCTCTAGGGAGCCCTCCCAGCCCCACCCTGTCCAGAGAGTAGGTTAAGATCCGAATGTAGGGTCCTTGAGGTCTGTTAGAGGCTGACCAGGAGTCACTGGGGGTTGGCTGGCGGCCGTTGGGCACTGGCTGGGGGCCGTTGGAGATTGGCTAGAAGCCTTTGAGGGCTGGCTGGGGACCGTTGGGAATTGGCAGGAGGACTTTGGGACTGGCTGGGGGCCATTGGGGATTGGCTGGAGGTCTTTGGGGGCGGTCTGCCGGGGATTGGCCAGGGTATTGGGATTGGCTGGATTCCGTTGAGGGCTGACTGCGTGCCGTTAGGGATTGGCTGGGAACCGGTGGGGATTGGCCAGGGTCCGTTGGGATTGGCTGGATTCCCTTGGGGGCTGACTGGGTGCTTTGGGGGCGCTGGTTGGGGGCCGTTGGGGATTGCCCAGGGATCTTGGGCCGCGGCAGTTGCTGCAAGCGCTGAGGGAGGGAGGCCGGGCTTACACCCAGGGTGGGTCTCCTGAGACAAACAGGGCTGGAGGGTGGGGACCCCCGCCCGCCGGCGCCCTGGACCCGGAGTGAGGAGGAATCCAACGGGAGCCCCCAGCCTCCGAGGCCCCGGGCGGATGAGGGAGCACTGCGGCGCCCCGGAGCGGCCCGCTGGGTCCGGCCCTCTGCGGGCGGCCGGGCGAGGGCGCCCCCGCGGCGAGGAGCAGGTCTTTGGGGGCGGGAAGGCCGAGCCCCCCGGCGAGTCGTCCGGGGAGTCGGGACCGCGCGGCCCTCAGCTCGCCCGCAAGTCCCCGGCGGCGACTGCCCGGAGCCCGGGGGCGCCCGGCGCCCGCCCGCTGCACCCGCGGGAGCGGCGAGGGATGTGGGACTGCGCTCAGTTTCCCGTCTTCCTGTGCCTCTTTCCCGACCTGTTCGAGCACAGGCTCCAATTTTAGAGGCTGTGGAAGAGAGAGCTTAGCCCAGGCCTGCTAGCAGGGCCTTTGCCTGGCACGGCTCTTGCCGGTTGTGGCTAAGGGGGAGCGCGCGGGAGGTCTCGCCGGCCGCCCTGCCCGGGGCTCGCTCACTGGCTGTGCGCTAATGGCTGAAACCCTGAGCGCCA